CAAGGGGGGGAGCAGAACCACCTGGAGCCCTTGTGGTTCCTAACCAAGGAGAAAAGAGTCCCCTCCTGCTTCAGCACCCTGGAGCTGTCTAGAGAAGGATTGAAGCACATGCCTCCCTCTGTGGCCAGGGGGATGGGTTTTTAAAATTGGTGGTCGACACCAGCACTACGGTTGAAAGAGGAGCAAATAGCAAGAAGGGGAAGATGCTGTTTTGGAGGATGCAGCACTTTGGTTCTGCCACATTTAGCAAGAGGAAAAGAGACCTCAGATCTGAAAGGTCAACTGGATTGGGATATGTCTAATCAGGTTCCTAAAACTGCGTAAAATAGATATACTCAGGGAATGTTGGAATTTTTAATACACACACACGCACGCACGCATGCACGCACGCACGCACGCATACATATGTACATATTTTGTACAGATGTCCATGATAAAATGTTGAATTTTTAAAAGGTAGGTCATAAAATAATGTGTATAATAAGTTCTGTTTCCATAGAAATAAGCGAGCTCCTCTGAATGTGTGCATATGTTTGCATACATTTGTTTGAGTGAGGAGAAACATGGGGAAGGATACAAAGGCTTGCGTTGCTGGTTACATCAAGGAATTGAGAAGGAGGAGTGACCAGGGATGAGGATCAACTATGCCTTTATTTATCATTGTGTTATGTAATTTCACTTGTTAAAATGAGCTTGTATTATGTTTGTAATTTGAAAAACAAAAAATAAAGAAAGAAGACTATTTATATTGACATCGGGAGGGGTGTGGATGCAGGAATTGAAGGCAGGAGCTTGGGAGTCACCTCACATGGAAATCCAGGCCTTCCTAGACTTTCCAGATTCCCAAGACTGGGAAGTACAGCATAGGATGTGGCAAACCAGCAACAGCGTACTTGAGAGATCCACAGCACTGTTTGTTCACTAAGCGTGTATCTCTCCCAGGGAGCAGATGTGAGTGGGTCAGATCTGCCACCACCTTCAATATGGCAACATCTCCTGTAGGCTGATCCTTGCCCGTGGTAGTCCGAGGCAGGCTCTTACCTGCCCAGCCACAGATGGCTGCCTTCTGCTGACGGACTGCTCCTGGTCCGGTCAGCTATGGCAAAAACAGTTGAGTGGCTTTCAGTCAAAGCACCTGATGTGAGCCATTAATTATGTAGGAAAGAACTGCTGGGCCCCTTTTACTGAAAAGAGGACCAAGTGCTGGCTGGCCCTTGTAGCCTCTGTGGTCTGTTCAGTTTGGGTAAGAACTTTCAATGCTTGGTACCTACCTTCTACAGAGGCCTGTTATTAGTAACCCACCCTTAGGAATGTACGTGGTTGAGGGTATGTGTGAGGTTAAGGTGTCTCCCTACCTGTTTTTAGATAGTTCTCATATTAAATGTGGCCAGTGAGACAGAGGCTGAAATAATGGCCTGGGAACCAGTGATGTGCATTGTTGAGATGCTGAAGATCAAGACAGCAGGTGACAGTGGCTGCCATAGCAGCAAGTGCTGCCATTTATTGGGTGCCTCTACTGTGCTGGGAACGATGCTAGGTGCACCACAGGCATCATGGAGTATCATCCTCAACAGTTCGAGGTAGCTGCTTTCAGCCACAATTTACAGTTGAGACTCAGAATAAAGTAACGAACCTCAGGTCCTGCTGCTAGTAAAGAGTAGGTTTGGGTTTAGGACTTTTGCCCTCAAATCACACAGGCTCCTGGACAGCAAACCTTTGTTAGCATTTCCTACTCAGTAGCCAAAGGAGTTAGAGTGGATCTGATCTTAGATGGATGGTCTTAGTTCTTTAGATGGAATTATTCCATCAGACTACAAGCTGAGCATCCCTAATTTGGAAATCTGAAATCTGAAATGCTCCAAAATCTGAAACTTTTAAAATGCCAACAGGATGTTAAAAAAAAAAAAAAAGTGCTCATTGGAGCATTTGGGTTTTGGATCTTCAGAGTAGGTACTCATGTGTAGGTGGAAGTGTGATTTGCTACAGCCTTTCTAGGGATGCCATGCGGTTGTATGTCAGAAGTCTTAAAATTTTTCATACCCATTTACACTGTAATTCCACTTCTGGAAATTTTTACAAAGGAAATGTTAGATATATGCGCAAAGATTTCTGCCCAAGAATGTTTATCATGGCCTTTTTTTTGTATTTTTATTTGTTCAATTTTATTCATATTTATTTTTGTGAGGTACAGTGTGCTGTTTCAATACATGCATATACTGCACAATGACTCACTTAGGGTAGATAGCATAGTTTTGTACCTGTTTTTTTAAATTTTTTAATTTTTTGTTGCTGGCTGGTATGGGGATCTGAACCCTTGACCTTGGTATTATAACACCATGCTCTAACCAGGTTTCTTTTTTTTTAATAGTGAAAAATGGAACAAATTTTAGGAAAACAGTTAAATATAGCAGGCCATTCAAAGCAGTCACTAACAGGATGCACTGATATACTGAATAATTTAAAGAAACAGATAGAAAATACATATATAAATAATATCCCCAAAGTTTACCACATCTAACTGATTATGTATGGCTGTATGGTAGAATTACAGGTGAGTCTTATTTTCTTCTGAATATTTTTCTCTATTTACCAAATTATCTACAGTGAATATGCATTACTTCCATAATCAGAAGAAAAGTTATCTATAGAAGAAAACAAGACCTATTTCTTTAATTGAAAATGTCTCATTCCGATTTGCATGGGTGATGGGGTGGTTCCAGCAAATGTGCGAGGAAGTGTTTGGGAACATAAGTTCAGGTTGTCTGCATGATTAAAAAGCAAAACAAGACAAAAACCCAGCTCATGGCAGCTGATAGAACAGGAGCTTGACAGGAAGTAAGAGGGTCAACTGGAACTATTGGAGCCCCCATGGGCAGTCCTCTCCCACAGGCAAGCTTCAGAAATCTGGCTGAGAGAGAAACTGTCTGTGACTTGTGGCTGGAATCAGGTTCAGAGAATGGTAGGGGACTGAGTTTCATAAACAGCAATCTTTCCCCACAGGGGCAGAGAGCCTGGCCTTCTAAGTTGTCCTCTAATGCCACAACCCATGTTTTGAAGCCATTTTTCCTGTTCGTGACATGTAAGTTAGATTGAGAGAACTTACTATTGAAGCTACCAGCTCAGCTATAATTGGTCATGCATTTGAAGAAAGGAGTGCCTTCCTGGCCTGTCCTTGCTTAAGGTACTTGCTTCTAGGCTGCTCACTCTTGCTGGGCCACAGTAGCTTCAACTGTCAAATAAGGGGGTGAGGGTGAAGGATATATGTCAAAATCTTCTTTGAGCTCTAAGATCTTGTGATTTCCTGTTCTTTATTAGAAAGGAGTAAGCTTTAGGAATAATAATAATAACACTAATAGCCAGCACTATATACAGCACTTCACTGCTTGGCAGGCACTGTTCTTTTTTTTTTTGTCTTTTGTCTTTTTCCATGTCCAGCAACGGATCGCAACCCTCAGTGCTGCCCCCGTACTGGACCGGGGACCGGCAACGGGACTGCAACCCTCGGCGTTGCTCCCGCGCCTCGCTCAGCCAGTGAGCGGGAACCGGTTCGTATGTGGGATCCGAGCAGCGCACCATCCAGTGCGCCACCATCCAGCGCACTTCCCAAGCAGTGCACCATCCAGTGCGCCACCGGGCCGGCCCGCAGGCACTGTTCTTAGCATATTTCTTACATTTATTCATTTAATCCTCAAAATGATCCTATGATATAGTTACTGTTATCATCCCCATTTTATAAATGATGAAACTGAGGAGAAATGAGGAAACTACATTTGGAACATTTTTTATACCAAAAGCATAGCTGGTGGTTTGCAATTAATTTAAATATATAGGATATTTTACAAAATGAGTGTAAATGCTGTATATGTCAAAAGATTTTGCCATATCCAGTTTCAAAAGTTATTCTATGGAATATCTTTGCAGGCTTAATTTCTGCTGAGTTCTTGTAGCTGTTTGGGTGAGTTGGGGAGTTCCCTTTCCTTCCTGGTAGGGAAGAAAGGGATGGACTTCAGGAAGTGGTAGGCAGTACAAAGAGTGTGTTGTGTCAGTTAGGGGAGAGAGTGAGAAGAAGGCAGGAGAAGAACAGGACCCTGGTGTCTGGGGTGAGCTCGGGCAAGGTGTTGAGTGATATGTGTATAGGTGGGAATGTATGCTGGATTCAGGCGAGTTTGTGAAAAAGGGAGTGGGCCTGGACCACTGAGGAAGAGTTGGGATGGACCTTCTTAGGTTGGCATAGAAGTGGGCTGCATAGAGCCATCACTGCAGTCCTCGGCCATGATGCATGCCCAGTGCCGTGCTGTCCAGCAGGACTTGTTGTAGCAATGGAAATGTTCTGTATCTGCACTGTCTGGTCCAGTAGCCACCAGCCACCTGTGGCTATTGCACACTTGAAAGGTAGCCAGTGAGACTGAGGAGCTGAATTTTTTATTTAATTGTAATTAAGTTAAATGTGTATAGTCACATGTGACTAGTGGTTACTGTATTGGACAGCATAGCTCTTTCACAGGAAAATATTGACATGAGGTGAGCATTTTGGAAGCCTATAAATTTTATATATGCCTATTTTTAAGATTGAAGGAAACTTTTTATAATTTCAGAAAAACAATTTGGGTTCATTGCAGATAATACAGACAAGAAGAAAAAAAAAGTACTCATGAAAACAAATATTCAGAGAGAAAAGCTCAAGTTAGCACTTTGGTGTATAACCTTTTTTAATTTTTTTATTTTGGATACTGGCAGGTAATAGGGATCAAACCCTGGTTCTTGTGTTATCAGCACCATGCTCTAATGAACTGAGCTAAATGGCCAGCCCCGATAACCTTCTAAATTCTCTTCTATGCTTATGTCATGCGTAGCCAGCTGGCTCTCAATGGCATAGTTTGAAATCATCCAGACAGGAATAAGACATGTTAGCAGGAGAGAATGCTGTTTATTGCTGAAAAGAGAATACAGATATAGATTTTAGCAATTTGCCATGCTAATGTTTCTCTTTTGGGTGCTAGGTCATCAACCCTATGGGATGGGATGCGTTTGGATTGCCTGCTGAAAATGCTGCAATCGAAAGGAATCTACATCCAGGTAGTTGGACGCAAAGGTATGTGTTTACAGGAGTATTCAAACACTTGTGTACAAAAACTTTAAAAAGATTGTTTTAACCTGTGCATGAGAAATTGAAAGCAGAGCAAACAATCTTTGCAGCCTGCCAAGAGATAAACAGGATTGTCTATTAACATGCTATATTCTTATAAGAAATACCAAAGATGGTTTTGGGTATTCTTTCATGTGTTCATTTTGATGCTTCGTTATTTACAAAGTTATTCTTCCTTTGAATATTTGCATTTGGGAGAGAAAAGGAAGAGAGGATCACATTTGTTAAATTTCTATAATCCTTGTCTTCTGGACTGGTAATTTGACCTATGTCCAAATACTACGTTAATAATTTTCTCTGAAAATTCTGTTGGCTTTTTGCCTTCACCATTCAGGAGCAAGAGGAACTTAGACACTCATTGTGGAAATATATGGCCACTTTATTATGGATGTGGCTTTCTCCATGGGAGAACACATTCCCAATCCCACCCATGCCTTAGGCTTCCATGTACACATGGGCCAGCAGCGCCCATCCCTCTCCCTCCTGATAATGTCCTGAGGGTGTCAGACCAGAAACCAGCAGAATCTTTTGGGCACATTACGTCAGCTCCTTTCATAAGGACCTGGGACGCTTCCTCACCCCACCCATCAGAGATATACAAGGGTAGTTCCAGATGTACAAAGGTGGTTCCCCAGTGTTTTATACCTCCCTTTGCTTTCTCTTACCCAAGGTGACATTATAAAACATCTACTTCTACTTTACTTTTACTACTATATCCACTTTTCTTTTTCTTTTACTTTTCTTTTTTTTGCTAACCTCTAGTTTCTACTTTTTCAGTTATGGTTAATTCTATATTAAAGGGAGTGGTGGGAAAAAAGAGGAAATTATGGGCCGGCCTGTGGCTCACTCGGTAGAGTGCGGTGCTGATAACACCAAGGCCACGGGTTTGGATCCTAGGGGAAAAAAAAAAAAAAAAAAGAGGAAATTATTATGATTCAAATAAAATGAATCAAACATGGTTAAGACCAGAGGTTGACAAACTATGGCTTGTGGGTCAAATTTGGCCCTGCCTGTTTTTGTAAATAAAGTTTTATTGGAACACAGTAACATACATTTGTTTACATATTGTCCGTGGCTACTTTCATGATACAACAGCAGAGTTGAGTAGTTCTGATAGAGACCATATGGCTCACAAAGCTGAAAATATTCACAATCTGGTCCTTTCCAGAGGAAGTTTGCTAGCCCTTCTACTAGAGATAGCAGTTAAGAGGATAGCCACCTACATGCAAATCCTGCTTTTCCCCCTAGCTAGCTTATCACCTTGAGCAAATTACTTAACCTCCCTGTGCCTCAGTTTACTTATCTGTAAAACAGGGATAGTCACAGTGCCTACCCCATATGATTAGATAAAGATTAAGCACTTCGCTGCAAAGTGCTTAGCACAGGGACTGGAATTAATTAAGCTATTATTAATCTGAGGTCACATAGAGGATTTTTTCATGGTTTTTATATTTTCAGTCTGCTTGACTGAACAAGGATATAGTAGAAATGATTTAGTCCTTTTTTAAAAAAAAAAAAAGAAAAAATGATTTATTTCCTTATTCCATATTATAAGTTGAGCTCACTTCTCTCCCTATTTCCCAATTGTTAGACTGGTTTAGGTTTTGATTGACAAAACATTGTATGGTTTCTTTGATTTCCACAATCTGTACATTAAGGTGTTTGTTTTCAGTCAGTTTTAAACTTGTAAATGTTTGGCTTACACTTAAGCAGAACACAAACATACAGATGGGCTGGGAGTGCACGTATCAAAGGTATTGCCTATCTGAATGCTGGGGGAAGAGTCAGTCCCCAGTGCCAAAGACCGTCGTGGTTTCTAGTAGATGCAGTATGTGTCCAAATAATGGGTGTCTTCGAATATGTTGGTATTTTTACTAACTCTTAGTGATTAAGTTTTCTGCCTCAGCAAAACAACGCTTAGCACCCCTTTGAATAATCTAGACCTTTTCAGTTTCTATTCACATTCTCAAAGTGTAGTTTAGGCTTTAACCCCCACCAAAGAAAAAACAAATTTTCTTCGCCTTGTTTCACAGTAATAGTACTATTATTATTTTTTTTTAATTTTACATTTACTCGTACATATTTGTGGGGTACGGTGTGTTGTTTCAGTACTGCACAATGATTTTTTTTTTTTTTGTCTTTTTTCCGTGTCCGGCAATGGATCGCAACCCTCAGTGTTGCCCCCGTACCGGACCGGGGACCGGCAACGGGATTGCAAACCTTGGTGTTGCTCCCGCGCCTCGCTCAGCCAGTGAGCGGGAACCGGTCTGTATGTGGGATCCGAACCCTCGGGCGGGAGTGCCGCCGCGCTTCCCAAGCGGCGCACTATCCAGTGCACCACCGGGCCGGCCCCTACTGCACAATGATTTGCTTAGGGTACATAACACAGCTTTGTACCTGTTAGTCCACCACCTCTCCTCCCCCCAGCCCCTTCCCCTCCCAGCCTCTGGTAACCATTGTTCACTCCTATGAGAACCACTTTTTTTTTTTTTTAGATTCCATATATGAGTGAGATCATGAGGTATTTGTCTTTTTGTGCCTGATTTACTTCACTTAATATGATGGTTTGCAGTTCCATTCATGTTGCTACCAATGATAGGATTTCATTTCTTTTTACAGTTGAATTGTACTCCACTGTGTATATATACCACAGTTTTTTTATCCATTCATCTGTTGATGGGCATTTCAGTTGATTCTGTCTCTTGGCTATTGTCTTTCACAGTAATATTAAACACATGAGGAAACAGCTTGATCAACTGGGCCTGTGTTTCAGCTGGGATAGGGTAAGTCAATCCTTTTTCCTGGAAGGTCATTATTTTAAGGAAGGTCCTTATTGCATGGAGGACCGTTCCTTCTCTTTGGGTTGAGAGAAGGGAAGAGATGGAGGCAGGAAGTAGGAGGGAAGGATTAGCATTCCACAAATAAAAAAGTGTCTTGAATGGATAATTTGCCTGCAAACAAGTAATTTTTTGTGGGTTTAAGAGTTAATTTCTTATTTAACTTCATAGTTGGCTATGATTTATGTGTGGCAGAAGCTTTGCACAGGGATTTTTCTTGCTGTCCGCAAGAGTTTAAAAAGACTAGTAGAATCTATGTAAAAGTGATTACATATCAACCCATCTGGTCCTTTAGGTGATTATGTGTTAAGTTGACTGACCATTCATTTACCTTTTGTTCCTAGTTTGGAATTGAGGCTCATAACCACCCGTAATGATTCTGTCACCTATATTCTTTATGTATAAAACATTTTCAAACTGTATATTAAACCAGTGGAGAATTCCAGACCCAGAGGGAGTTCATGGAATACCACCTGCATGTTAGGAACACTGAGTATGAACTGACTCCTTCAAAGCTCTGGCAAAAGGCCTGCCCCGTAGACATTGAGGAGTGGTCTGTCAGGCAAGACGGACTGTTGCGTGTCCCCTCCACGAAGGGCCCTTCCAGTGCCGTGATCCCTCTTAGCCTCCCATTTACCCCACAACAGGATTGGAGTTGTCATTGCTGGGCCTGTCAAGTTTACATCATTTTACTCATGAGAAGCGTTGGAACAAACCCAAATGAAATCTCTTCCCCTTCCCCCAACGATTTTTTAAATGATTGGAATTTGATGAGTGCAGTCAACAAGAGCAAAAGTCAAGCACATTTGAATGGGCACTGAATTTTTTGTGTGACTTCATTAGGTAAGGATGGGCTGAATCAAGTTCTAATCGCACCACTGATGACATTTTTGCCACTGACTTGCCAGGTCACCAGGGCGTCATTTGGTGGAGGTGTATAAAGTGCTGGCACCTCAGTTAGTCCCTGATAGAGAATAAAACAAGAGTCTAATGCCGAGAGAGCAGAGTAATGCCCAGAGCCCGTCAGGGATAAGATTGTAGATTCCTCGAGGGCAAAGATGGACTCCTTAACCCTCTAGAATGATAACTAGCCTGGTCTTGCACAGGGAAATCAACCATGAGTGGCTTACTAATTGTTGGATTGTTTTCCTAATTATCATAGAAGATTAGAAAATGTAGAAAAGTATAAAGAAGAACGTAGTGTGGCTAATTTAACATCCTGGTATGGTTCCTTGCTTTTGTAAACATCTATATAATTTACTTTTACAAAATTCAATTCATAATGCATTTTTAAAATTTCACTTATTTTTTTAACCTAGTATTCATGAAGACGTCATTAAATATTCTTTCAAAAAGTGACATTTTATACCTCTGCAGTTTTCTGTTTTGTGAATGTATCATAACTTATTTAACCTATTCCTTATTATTATGCATTTAGATAGATTCCGTTTCTCTATTTTAAATACAGATTCTCAGTCCCTCTTGTGCAAATCTGAAGTCCAGAAAACACTGAAAACTGAAAGTCTTTTTTATAACTTACTTGACTACAAAAGCTGACTTGAACTGACATTTATCTCACTTAAAATGAATATTTGTGTATTTTACTGTAGGAATAGTAAAATTACCAGGTACTATCCCAGACCTAGTTAGGTATGTGCATTGTTATCTCCTTTTAATATCCAAAAAGGTCTTAATTCTGAAGCACATTTGGCTGCAAGCATTTCAGATAAAGGGATTTTAAAACTATAGTACAATGTTGTAGATAAATACCACTACTCCTGTTACCATTGTCTGGTAGTTACTGAGCACTTACTGCTGCAGGCCAGGTATCTCTTTGGATCCCAGAAAGCTCTAAAGGGCAGGTAATTTTACTGATGTCGTTTTATTGCTGGTCACTCAAGTGGCAAGGCTGGACTAATCTACTAACCAATTTATGACTGCTGTGCTCATCCCCCACACTTCGGGCAGAAATCTTAGAACACATATTTTATATGTCCTTAATATGAATTCTCAAAAAAGCCAAGAACAAGTCTCAAGTTTTTTTTTTTCTGTTTTCTTTTTTTACTTTTTCGTGACCGGTAAGGGAATCACTACCCTTGGCTTGGTGTCGCCCGCACCGCGCTCAGCCAGTGAGCGCACCGGCCATTCCTATATAGGATCCAAACCGGCGGCGGGAGCGTCGCTGCGCTCCCAGCGCTGTACTCTCCCCAATGCGCCACGGGGCCGGCCCTCAAGTCTCAAGTTTTTATATGGTTGTTTTCATTCATATTTCTTTCATTATTAGTGATAGTTTTTTTCATACATTTCGTGAATGTTCGAATTTTGCGTGTGTGTGAATGATCTAATTGGGTCTTGCCTGTATATATAGTGAGTGTTTGTCCTTCTCTCAATGATTTTTCTTTTGTTACCATTATTTTTCCTCAGTTTGTTGTCTGCCTTGCATTTTGTTTATCATGGGACTTTATTGGCAGACAGATAGTACTTGGAAAGAACTTCTTTGAGATAAGATAAATATATTTATATTTTCTTCTCAATCATTGGTGATTGAATTTTTATACTTAACTGGAATTATTTTAGTACATAAGACAAGGAATTACTGTTTTTTCTAAGTCAACAATTTGTTCTGTTTTTAATTTTCAAACAGTCCTTTCTCTCCTCATTGATTTAAAAGGCTACCTTTATAGCAGACCAAGTCCTTTTATACTTAAAATGCTATCTTTGTTGTAGACTAAGTTCTTTTAGATTATTATACACTCAATTCTGTTTCAGTTCATTTGATGCATTTATTATGTCATTACTAAACTATTTTTTAATTACAGTTGCATCATAACCTGGTAACAGAAGTTTCTTCTTATTGTCTGATATTAACAATGCTATCCCTGCTTTCTTGTTTTTCTGTTTCGCTGATATGTTTTACCAGTTTTTTAAACCTTTTAGCCTTTATGTGTTGACTTCTTTTGGTGCATCACTTGTAGATAAAATTAATTAAAAATTTAAAAAGACAGGCAAAGAAGGGAAACCTTCTTTTGGCCAATCTGGAGTCTTTGTGATAATAGGAAAGTGAAAGATATTTGTATTTATTTTCATAACTGGTACTTGTGCTTATTTTCTAATTAGACTTTTTAAATGTAGTTTTAGGTATATTTTGTTTTTTGTTTTCATTGTGTCTTGAATTTTGGATTTTGTTTTCCTTTTTTCTCTAGAGACTTAAGAAATACCAACTCTATTTTTTATTCTGTTAAAAGATAGCTTAAGAGTTTTTCTAAATAAAAAACACATGTTTAGTGTCAATATAAAAAATAAAACAGTATGTTTTTCTCACATTTCAAGTAAGATAAGGAAAGTAGCAGGTAGTTAACACTTCCCACTTTCTAAGCCTATTTTCAGGAATTTTTTGTTTGTTTGTTTGGTATATCCTGAGATTTAAGCCTAATTTACTGTTGCAATTTTTCTGATAATGAATCATTTCTTAAACTTTATATTTATTTGCTTCCAGCTTTATAATCATATTCACAATTACATAAATTTAATACTCTTTAATTTCATTGCTTATCAATTGACCTTTTAGAGCACAACTGTCCATTTTTAAAATTTTGATTTTTGAAAATTTTTTAGATATTATTTTAACTCTTGCTTTGGATCCTCTGACACACATTATTTTCATATCTAAGAATGACTCTCTGCTGCTGTCTCCTGTAAACAGCAATTTATTGGGATGTGGAATTCTTCATTTATTATCTTTTTTCTTTCAGATCTCTGTAGTAGACCTTGATCCACTGTCTTTTTTAAAAAAAAAATACTTATAAGCTCACAGAAAGTTGCCAGGATAGTAGAGAGATCCTGTGTATCCTTTACCCAAGTTCCCCTAATGATAACATTTTACATAACTATAGTATAATATCAAAACTAGGAAGTTGACACCGGTATAGTACTATTAACTATAATACAGATCTTATTCAGAATTCACCAGTTTCCACATGCAATCATGTGTGTGTGTGTGTAATAGTAGTAGTTCTGTGCAACTTAATCATATGAATAGATTTATGTAACAACCACCACCTGATGCATTGTCTTTTGGTGGTGAAGTCTGAGGCCAGCCAGAATCGTCTCTTTGTATATACTGTAATCTTTCTACCCCCATTTTGATGCTTGTTGGATTCTTTCTTTCTCTACCCCTGCCATTTTAATTTTTCATCAGAGTGTGTCTCAGTATTGATCTGTTCACTTTAATCTTGCCTAGTGCGTAGTCTAAGTCCACTTTTGATCCACAGTTGTGGGTCTTTTGGGGTGCCGTTCCATAGGCCCTCTTGCTTGAGAGCACTGACTTGCCACATGTACTCAGCTTACTGTCCTCCATAGTTAGCACCATCTTTCTAGTGATTTTGGTCTTGTTATTCTTCTCTACCTTCTGGATGAACTTCTTTTGTTTGCTTTCCACATCATTAATTCCATTTCTATAGAATCAATGTTGTTTTGTGTGGTTTCTAATACAGATATTAATTTTGCTGTTGTTTTTAGATTTATTATTTTTCCTTATCTTTTTCAGTTTCTATTTTTTTCCTCAAGCCTCTTGGCCAGATGCTTTTTTTTCGTCTTCTTATTTTGCTATCTTATTCATCTTCACAGACCATATATGTTCAGAAATTTTCATGAACACAAGTAGATGCTCTTGAAAATTTATTTTTTGCTTCTTGTAATAAATCTTTTCCACAAGTTTGTCAGCACCACGCTCACACAGTGAGCTAACTGGCCATCCCTATATGGGATCCGAACCTGTGGCCCTGGTGTTATCAGCACTGCACTCTCCCAAGTGAGCCATGGGCCAGCCCTTCTTTTCCACAAGTTTGGAATGTTGTGTTCTCCTTGTTTGTTTCAGAATCTTTTCTGTAGATATCTGGTGGATTTGTGCCCTGTTTCCTGAGTGAGGTGGACTAGTATGTCAATTT